GACGAACTCGCTCCGTTGTTACCACAACTACTGTGGTTCGCCTTCCGTTCCCGACCTCGACAAACTTGGCGACCGGCTCGCATGAGTGATTGACAAATCTCATGAGCCCTCCCATTCTCTCCGCGTTGATGGCCACTAGGACGGGGTGCTCAGGGCGCTCCGGGCGCTGCCTCATCACCAAGCGATAGCCTGTGTTCCGCGGGCGGACGCTCCTGTTCATGCTCAGGTGTTCCAGCTCGCCAAGGTACTGGCCGACCACTTCTCCTGCCTCGATGTCATCAACCACAGCCACACCCAACGTAGACGTCCGAAGGTTGCGAACCAAGTACACCTTGTTAGACTCCCGAAGGCCATTGCCGCACATGCCCTCATACGGACAACAGTTGATGTTGCAGTACACGTTCATGAGGGCATTGCGGCAAGTGTCGAAACGGCACGGATCTTGGCAGTTGCACAAGCCAAAATTGGGAACAGCAGGAAACACTGTCGCCATGGGATTGTATTGCTCTCGCAAGTGAGCCACATCATAGGGCCAGCGCACAGGAACGAGCATGTCCGCAGTTATATGAGAACGCAGTTTTGGTCCCGAAGACTCCACGTTCGCAGCCCGAATACAACCACTCGGGTTAGCCACCGAGCATCCTTTCTGGTCGCGAAGGAGACAGGGTCGAGAATAAGGAGTCGCACCCTCACGGCGAGATCGACGGTTCTGCAGGCCTTTCGTGCGAGAGCCCACCAGCGGTGACGGCCGTGGAGTTGTTTCCAGCATCACAGGCGATGAAGTTGGCGGACTGGCCACCTCCAGAGGACGACGCGAAGGTGAAAGCACTGTCTCCGCTGAAGACGGAGAAGGTGCCGATGACGGCGACGATGGTGGCGGGTTAGTGTTGCTCCTGGAGTAGCTGAGCTTCGTGAAGCCTGGCGACATCCACGGAGGCGTGGCGGTTCCAGTCAAAGACGTGGCGTCCCAGCCCTTGTTGCCGCAGCACTCGTCGTCGCAGTTCTTGTCGTCGCTGTACTTTTGCTTGGCGGTCTTGTCCTCGGGGCTCTGCGTACGCGAAACGTTTGGCGGGGTGTTCTCGTCCTCGCTAGCCGACGAGTCCTGGATGCACCGAAGCTTCCAGTACAGTGCAGAATGGACAAGATGAACCATGACTGCATGTACAATAGTTTGTTAAAATATACCTTTGAAACCAAAATCATCTTTAACGTGTACGATACTTGTTATCTCCAGAGGCAGATTGAAGACTGAGCGCTTCCTCGCAAAGTCGCAAAAAAAGATATATGTCACTACAGAGTGACGGTCGTTGTAGAATAGTGACGGTTAGCATAAACTATACAAATTTGTAGTATAACGTTTAAGATGGGTGCACGACATATGAGCGATAAGACGTCTGTTTAATGAGACGATTTTATCGTCTCATTAAAGTTTATGCCATCATTTCGAGCGGCTTATCTGCTGCAGATATGTCAGGTACTTAATGTATTTTTGGTAGACGTCCACGGTATGAGCCTGAAATACAAAGAGTTAAGAGTAGCGTGGGTTTATAATGACTCACCTCGTTGAGAACAGAGCAATATACGCGAATCACCATTCGCACGCATTAACATAATTAAACAAATTACTTTTACGCCATTTTCAGCCTAAAGCGAAGCATCCTAGTTAGGACCTTCGACGCTATCTAAACGAGACAATTTCGATGTTATATGCTTGGCGGGTAAACCTGCACTACTAGCAGGCCTACAATAAGAACATGGTTGCTAATAGACACAAGTTTATTCGAGCCAAAATGACATATAGTTCCAGATACAATAACAGATGCAATAACCGCTACTAATACCATAATGGAGAAGAAACTTGATCATATTCTCTATAGCGTTTTTAGCTTTAGTCACAGCAACGACTAGGATATTAACCACGCTAGTTAACCGAAAGGCTGAACATTATTCGTATGGACTCGACCCCCCGCCCCCCGACTTATTTCGCAACAAGCTTAAATGCATGAATATTTTCGTGACTATAATAACATTCTAAAAATGTTTGAATACAAGTTTGGCGGTGATAGCGAACCGTGAGTGGATGCAACAAGTTCTATTAGATAATTATGATGGGGTGCTTTATTTCATCGCAAAATGGTAAACGAACTCAAACGCACTGTAAACGGGGACGCTTAATCAATAGCAAAATAATTGAGAGAGGGAGAAAGACTTAACCATATCGCAAAGTCACTTTGCGGAA